CAGGTGTTGCAGGACCAGGGAAGTAGAGGGAGTTGAGGGTGGGGACAGGTCCAGAAGCAGTGCTCCTGGGGCCCAAGGAAGGCATTAAGTTAGTCTGGGTGAAGAAGATCAGGAAGCAGTATTCGTTCCCCAGGTGTCTGGGGACCCAAGCCTAGGAATGGCGCAGGGCCCAAACTAGGAGTAGAGAACAGCGGGGGAGATGGAAGGGTGAATACGGCTGGGGGAGTCAAGGTGCGGAGGGCTGCGAGATAGACTACCCCAAGAGAGGCCTGAGGGCAGGAGAGCCCGCCATGAGAGTTAGCTGATGGTGCAGGTCCAGGGAAGCAGAGAGAGGTGAGGGCGGGGCCAGGTCCCGAAGCAGTGCTCCTGGAGCCCAAGGAAGGCACCCAGCTGGCCTGCGCGAAAAGGATCAGGAAGCAGCACAGGTTCTGGGGGAGTCAAGGCGTGGGGGGCTATGCTATAGACTTACCCCAAGAGGCCGGAGGATAGGAGTGCAGGCTAGGAGCCACTACTGTTTCTTTTACTTTTATTATGGTCTGCCTAACCATTTAAATTTGTTTGATATTTCCATAGTAAGAGTCATTGTACTTTTGCAAATATTTCCTATATCTTTATACAAGTGAATTAGTCATTTTTCTTGTGTCTTATACCATTGTGTTTTCACTTAAAATGTCTTTCCCTAGCCAAATATAAATATCTATACAGATCTATTTCCCATTTTTAGAAAACAAAATCTATGTTTTATTTGAGGTCTTTAAAATATTCTCTTTCTTTCCTTTCACATTCTTGGTGATGGCACTGACTCAGTTTTGAAAACTGCTTACATAGTTTCTGAAAATCTCTTGGAAAGTATGCATGATACTTTCTTAAATGTCTTTGAAAGGCAATGTCCTCTTGTCACCAAGCCATGCTTATTTTTTATCTGAGTTCATTAGTTTTGTTCACATTATTAGTGTCAAAAAGCTTATATATTTTTAAAAGTTTTAGATGTTCCAGTGAAATGATTTCTGCATTGAACCATTTTTCTGAATGTATTCAATAGCTCTTTGGTCATTTTTTGAGTTAAGTACTCCATTTATTTTTAAATTAATAGTAAAATTAAGTATCTCAAGAATACAAATCATAATATATATTTTGGTTTGAGTCTTTACCAAGAATCGTAGTATACTGAAGCCTGTATATTTTGGAGGCTGAGGAGCTGGCTTAGTGGGTAAAGTTCTTGTTCTGTAAGCATGATGATTTGAGTTAGGATCTACATCACCCATATAAAAGCTGGGCGTGGCAGCACTTTCATGTACCCCACTCAGCACTGAAGAAATGGAGACAGATGGATCCTGGAGGCTTCCTGGCCAGCCCAGTCTACATTCCTTGAGCTCCAGGTTCAGTGAAGAGAATCTTTCTGAAAAAATAAGTTGGAGAACAATTGAAGACACCTGGTGTTGATTTCTGGCTTCCACATGCACACACACAGAACACACACATGCACACACATACACATACACACATACATATACCACATACACACAATAAAACAGATTCACACTTTGATATATTAATATCAAATAAAGTAGTACATATATTCATTTTTTAAGTAACAAAGATATTTATCTTTGTCTTTATTCAGTAATAAAGATATTCATTAATTCCTCTATATCATTTTTTAATTCCTTTAAGTTATATGTGACAAATTTTAGGAGCATAATTGGTGGAAGCAAAAACAGCTTTTTTGACTCTAAAGAACATACTTTGTATAGTAAAGCACGGTACTTTTGCTTCTTCAGTTTAACAGTACTTATTCTGTCAGCAAATCCAGAGAATGTTTCATCTTTGAGGTATGAAATGCCCCGAAATCTACATATGACTGAAGTTTTAAAATATTGAGTTCTGCAGTCTCAAATCACTTTGAAATGTTGCATTCCATCATCATGCCATCTGTTTTGTTCACTTCTTCCAGAGTATTTTGATTACGCTCTTGAGTGTGTGTGTGTGTATGTGTACTTATATTCTTTGGAAGTAGCCTAAGCTCACAAATTTAACCACAGTAACTTTCATGCTCATTTATATGAATGAATATATATATATATAATCTCCAGGCATGAGAGAACACAGGTCTATGTGCATAGTATCCGACTGATAATATGGCCCAACTTTAGGAATGTTTTGGGGGGACTTGGTATCTTCATCAATGTTAGAGGAAAAAAATCTGACAGAAATTATTTGTTTGTTCAAAATTTGTCTGCCCCAATTTCAAACCTGTGCTATTCACAGATAAATCCACTATCCTGATATCAAGCTAGATTCATGGAGCAAGTGAACAACATGATAGAATTCATTCTGCTTGGCCTGACACAGAATCCACATGCGCAGAAACTCTTATTTTTCTTTTTTACACTCATCTACTTTCTGACCCTTGTAGGCAATCTACTCATCATTGTAACAATTGCCAGTAGCCCAACACTGGGCTCCCCCATGTACGTTTTTCTGTCCTTCTTATCCTTCATAGATGGCTGCTGCTCTTCCACCATGGCCACCAAAATGATATTTGACTTACTTGCTGAAGAGAAAACAATTTCCTTTAATGGGTGCATGACTCAGCTCTTTGCAGAACATTTCTTTGGGGGAGTTGAGATCCTCTTGCTCACAGTCATGGCCTATGATTGTTGTGTGGCCATCTGCAAACCCCTGCACTACACGATGACAAGGAACAGGAGAGCATGTGGCTTCCTGGTGTCCATGGCCTGGCCTGGGGGATTTCTTCATGCTCTGATCCAAATTCTTTTTATGGTGTGGTTACCCTTTTGTAGTCCAAATGTCATTGATTATTTCATCTGTGACCTTTTTCCTCTCCTAAAACGCTCCTGCACTGACACTCGTGTCTTTGGACTTTTTGTTGCTGCCAACAGTGGGCTGATGTGCATGTTCATTTTTTTCTATTCTTATTACCTCCTATGTTGTCATCCTTTGCTCGCTAAAGACTCACAGCACTGAAGAACATGGAAAGGCTCTCTCCACCTGTGCCTCCCATGTTACTGTAGTCATCCTATTCTTTGTGCCCTGCATATTCGTTTACCTTTGGCCCATGGTCAACTTCTCCACTGACAAAGCTGTGGCTGTGTTCTATACTATGATAACACCCATGTTAAACCCTTTAATCTACACTCTCAAAAACACAGAGGTGAAAAGTGCCATGAAGAAGCTCTGGAACCAAAGAAAAACTGGAAAATGGTTCACATGAATAGAAGAAATTAAAAATGAAAATTTAGAAATGTTTTTACTGATTTGAGAATTTCATAGAATATATTTTAATCATATTCAGACCTCTTCCTTACTCTCTACCCCCTTATTACCCTGCTCCCTTCAGGTCCTCTATTATTGTTTGTCTTTTCAAATAGGCCTACTAGTCAATTAGTCTCTAGTTCCCAAGTGATATTGGGTATGGGTATATTCCTTAAAGTCTAGTCAGCCTACCAGGCATCACACCAATAAAGAAAACTGGTGTGATAGAGAATAACATCTATCAGTTGCCAATAAACTCTCAGGCAAGGGGTAGAAGAAAAAATTACCCACATTTTAAGAAGTGTAACTACTATAAAAGATAATAGTCCTGAAACACTGGTTGGTCTTGAAAAAGACCCATGGTCATTTTCCAGGACACACAAAGGGATCTGATGCCCTCTTGTGGCCTCACTGCATACACGTGGTGCACTTTCATACATGCAGGCCAAACACTCATACATACAGAATGCAAATGAATTTTTAAAAATGATATTGTTCTTGAAATTAGAATATATGAATTTGGGTGCATATTTTCCTCTTCTCTTTTAGAACCTTCACTGCTTTTTTCATAAAAGATGAATATTTGACTAAATGATAACTAAAGAACCTATATATATATATATATATATTTAGAAGAAGCATATCATTACAGCCTTAACATGCCCAATAACAGTTTCCAGAGCAAAGACAAAGCTCCTACAAAAGTGCCTATAAAATTTCTAGGTTCGCTGTTGAATCCATAGTTTTACAATATTGAACTCAGTATAAACCCTGTAAGACATAAAATTGAATGAGTTTTTAACCTTTAAAAAAGATCTCCATTTCATTTTAGAATACACTGTATCTTACAAAAAGTCTCATTGTTCTTGCTATCAACACTGAGATGTTGGCACATGTATCTCTAATCTGTATGTATCTGATTATTATTAGTCATAGTCGGTTGCACTCGGATCCTTGGCACCTGTGTATGTCTATAGAGTCATCTGGAAGATTTCAATGGTAATGTTTATCACCTCTACTAGTTAACATGATCTAAATTTTTATGCTTTCTCCTCAAATATAATTCATTTTTAAAAATTGGCTGATTTTTTTTGTGTGTTTATCACACAGAACATCCCAAACCATCTTATTCATCTATACACCTACTTCCCAGATGGCACCCTTCCATAGCCTCCCCTCCCCACTAGAGCCCTTATACTCTGTTATACTCTGATTCTGTCCACTGTGATGTTGGCACCCCGAGCCGTTCCCCACTACTTGTCCATCTGGTGAATCTAGTCAGCCTATCTAGAGGTCTTTGTTTTAGGAGGGTCAGCTGTTCCAAATCTAGCAACAATCAGTTGTCAATATTCTTTTAGATAAGATTGGGGTCTGTTGTTCATTGTCCCAGTTCTATGCTGGGTTACTATTTTGGAGTCCCTTGGGCAACCCTGGCCAACAACTCAAAAGAAGGTATCTCCTATCTGGCATTGTTGCTTGTTATGCAGCCTTTCGCTATACATATGGACTCTTAAAAATTTATATTGGCTCCTTTAATCTTTGGTTATATTTTCCTTTTGGGTGTTTAAGGCCATATAGTTGGCCCAGATAAACCAATATATTTTTACTCTTAAGGCCATTAGAGGATCTGTTCCTCAGGGTGCACATGGACTTGGGAGGAGCCCATGGCTCCTTTCTTTTACCAGTTCTGCCTATGTGAAGATAAGTCAAAGGTCCTGTCGACCATGGCTGGCTTCACTTGGAAGCATGGAGGAAATGTTTCCTCTATGTTGACCCTCCTCTTTGTAGTTGGCACACTGGTTCAAGTCCATCTCGTGGGGTCTACATGGCCTCTTTATCAAGAGGACAGGTGACCCACCACAATTACAGGACATTTTGAGAGATGATCATAGTCCCTTGGAACTAGTCGACGTAGGAGGGCAAGGAGCAAAAACTGTCCTTTATGTCCCTCTGACCAAATTAGTATAGGCCTCAAGGTATGTCAGTTAAACATCCAAGAAGGTTAGTTCCACCAGTCTAGCACTTTTAATTACTGTGTGCCATATAGATAAATCTTTGAGAAAAGACTAACTGTTCTCAGATAAACCTTGTCTAGCCATATATTTTTTAATCTGGCATGTATAATTTGTTAGTAGGTTGTTGAACTAATATGGTTCCCTCTCATTTTTAAAACTAGCTAGGCATTATTTATCTCTCGCATTGTCTAACCCCTCCATCATGGTTTCCGCAACTAAGGTGTCCCCATTTTCCCCCTTTATCCCTTAATAATACCCTTTTCCTATGGACCTCCCTCTCTTGAGCTCCTTCTTTCCCTTTATCCCATAGGTTCCTTCTATACCCTTCACTCCCCCCTCCCTTAAACTAACCCAATTTTTATCTATATCTCCCTTATTAATGCCTGTTTCCTACTGTTAACTTTCAGGTTCTTTTTTTCCCTTTACCTCCCTGGTTCCTTTCCATTATCCTGGTTCCTGGTTATGTCTGGATACATACTAACTTATCAGGATTTGGTTGTAGGATCCACATATGAGGGAGAACATATGTTGATTTTTTTTCCTGAGTCTGTGTTGCTTCACTTAATATAACAGTTTCTAGTTCCATCCATTTACCTGCAAATTTAATGATTTCATTTTTCTTTACTTCTGAGTAAAACTCCATCATATAAATGAACCACATCTTCATTATCCAATCGTCAGTTGGGGGACACTTAGGTTGCTTCCATCTCTAGCTATTATTAAAAGAGCAGGAACAAATATGGATGTACAATTATCTCTGCAATAGGATGAGTTCTTTGGGTATATGCCAAGGACTGGTATAACTGGGTCAAATGGTCGGTTCATTTGTAGTTTTTTAAGAGTTCTCCACACTGCTTTCCATAGGGGTTGAACCAGTTTGCAGCCCCACCAGCAGTGGATGAGTGTTCCCCTTTCCACATATCCTCTCCAACATTTGGTATCATTTGTTCTCTTGATCTTAACCAGTCTTAATGGGGTAAGATGAAATATTAAAGTGGTTTTAATTTACATTTTCCCAATTACTAGTGATGTTGAACATCTTTTAAGATGCTTCTTAGCCATTTTTACTTCTTCTTTTGTGAACTCTTTGTTCAGCTCCTTAGCCCATATTTTAATTGGGTTACTTACTATCCTGATTCTCTGTTTTTTAGTTCGTTATATATTCTGGATGTTAAACCTCCATCAGATGTGTCGCTGGTGAAGATTTTCTCCCATTCTTGGGTTTTCTCTTCACTTCCCTGGTGTTGCCTTCTTTGATGTACAGAAGGTTTTTAGTTTAATGAGGTCCCATTTGTTGATTCTTAACCTTGTTTCCTGAGAAATTGATGTCTCTTAGAAAATCCTTTCCTACACCCATATCTTGTAGTTTTTTTTGCCAATGTTTTCTTCTAACAGTTTCAGAGTTTCAGGCTTTACATTGAGGTCTTTGAACCATTTGGAATTGACTTCAGTACAAGGTGAAAGATAAGGGTTTAGTTTCATTCTTCTACAGACGGAGATCTAGTTTTGCCAGTACCATTTGCTAAACATGCTGTCTTTCCTCCAGTGAATGTTCTTGGCCCCTTTGTCAAATATCAGGTGGCTGAAATTGCATTTACTCATATTTGGGTCTTCAATTTTGTTCCATTGTTCTATGGGTCTATTTTTATGCCAGTACCATATTGTTTTTATGACTACAGCTCTGTAACACTGCTTAAAATCTGTTACAGTAATCCCCTGGCATTGCTCTTAGTGCTCAGTGTTGCTTTGGCTATCCAAGGTCTTTTGTGTTTGTGCTTCCATATGAATCTTAGGATTTTTTTTTCCAATTATGTGAAAAATGTCATGGGGATTTTGATTGGTATTGCTTGAATCTATAAATGGCTTTTGGTAGGATGGTCATTTTCACAATATTAATCCTACCAATCCATGAGCATGGGGAGTCTTTCCATCTTCTGATGTCTTCCTCAATCTTTCTTTAAAGATTTAATATTTTCATTGTAGAGATCTTTAATGTCTTTGGTCAGGTTTAGTCTGAGATATTTTAAATATTTTTGCAGCTATTGTGAAGGGGAGTGTTTCCATGTCCTCTTTCTTGCTTGCTATTAGTGTATAGAAAGGCTACAGAGTTTTGTAGGTTAATTTTGTAACCTGCCACTTTACTGAACATGTTAATAATTTCTAGGAGTTTTCTGGTGGAATTTTTGGCATCTCTTAGATATAATATCATATCCTCTGCAAAATGGGATAATTTGCTCTCTTCTTTTCCAATTATTACTCCTTTAATTTTCTGCTCATGTCTTATGGCTCTTGCAAGAGTTTCAAGTACTATGTTAAAGAGAAATGGAGATAGTGGACAGCTTGTCTGGTTCCTAATTTCAATGGGAATGCTTCCAGTTTTTCTCCATTTAGAATGATGTTGGCTGTGGGTTTGTTATATATGGCTTTAATTATGT